GAACAGCTAGTTGTTATAAAATCGTCATAACATTCCACGTTCTTGTTACCATAGTTATATTAATTTAATTTTTAACATTCATTAAGTTTTAATAACTTCAATCTAAAAAAAAAAACTTAAGACATTTTCAACCATCTCTGATTCTTCTGGTGTTGCGGATGTCCATGGGCGTCGTTGACCACCTCGGTCTTCTCGCCGCTCGTTTGAGCACTTTTATTATAAAAAAAAAACAAATTCAGATATCGTTTATTAGATTTGCAGGCGTATTAATTTTACTAATATTATAAATGCGAAAGTTTAGATGGATGTTTGTTAGAGTTTGTAGCCTTAACTGCTGAATTGATCTCGATGAAATTTGGCATAGATGTAGAGGATAATCTTGAAAGACACATAGGCCACTTTTTTTGTTTTTTTTTAAATTCCAACCGAACAGAATCGCGGGGGAAAGCTAGTATACAATTATTAAACAAAATATGCTACAATTATAAATAATACAAGCCTAAAATTCACTTTGTCAATAATACCCTACAAATTTAATAAGAAACGTATTAAAAAGACAATTTAAAAAAATATAAATTTACGTTTTTAAAAAATCTGATAACCGTTTTTTAAATTACATTAAAAGTTATACGTAGAGAAACTCTTTCTGCGAAAGCCTTTCATATTCTAACGGAAGAATACATCTATACTATGTATTAACATATAAAAATACAAGTCTTGGTTAAATAATGAACTTGTAACATACAGGAGTTTGATTGATACACTGATTGCTAAATTACTTGGAAAATATCGTATAATAAGACTATTTTTTTTCATTCATATTAATTCCAATTATTACTATTTTTTTACCTAATAAGAGAGTCAACGATATGTAATTAAACAAATACAGACTTATAAAAATTAGAAGTTAAAACAATTTATGAGCAATAGCAACGAGAATGGCCTAGTCACTCCTTACTTAGGGTAGGCTCCGAGCCCTTCGGTGGGGACTTATAGTGAGCTGGTGATGATGAAGATATGCAGTATTTGTCAAGTTATATGTGAATTGTATTAATGTGTTTTTGTATAAAAATAAAAATGAATCATTTCAATGTTCCTATTACTTTTCTGGGCCACAAAAAGTTGTAATTGAATACCCAACTAAACTGACAATGTTAAGTTAAGGGTAAGCTTTGAACTAATTTTGTTTACGGAGAATTAAGTGTATACAAATGTTTATTAACAAATATAACCAGTTTGCACATTATTTCTTACTAATCTTATTAATGTTATAAATGCGAAAGTTTAGATGTAGAGGATAGACTAGAACACATAAGCTTATTACTTTTGGTTTGTTTAATTCCTCGCGGACGAAGTCGCGGGCGGAAGCTAGTAACATATTGTATAACACACTAGCTTTCACCCGCGACTCTAGTTTAGGCTACAAACTCTAACAAACATCCATCCATCTAAACTTTCGCATTTATAACATTAGTAAGATAGTAAGATTATGATGTTTTGACAACTCATGTTTCAAAATGGAAAAAAACGTGTTTAAAATAAAAAAAAGTAACTATTACCATATCTGTTACTCATAAAGTATAGAAAAATCCAGTGACCCAGTCCTATAAGTGCTGTGACAGGAAGCGAGTGCTTAAGTAAGATGACAGTGATTACGTGCAATAACTCTCGTACCGTGAGAGTTTGATTAAGCAGGCCGTGCACTTGATATGAGCTTTCAAAGTGCTTTAGTACTACACATTCAAGAAAAGCTTCGAAAGTCTTAATATATGACTTAAGTGAAAAAATTATTGATAAAATTAAAAAATATTTTACTTTATTGAATTTCCTTTATTAATGTGATATATTAACACGCTCACTGCGTGACAGGTCGATATCGGCCTGACGCGGTACTTAAACTGATGCGTACGAAGAAAACTATGTCTCTATCGCTGGTGCGAAACGATTATCACAGGTGTATACATTACATTACATAAAATGTATACAGTATGTTTCCACAATTATTTTAGCAATTTAATATATTCTAGTGCT